AAAAAAAAAAAAAGCCTTCCCAGGATAGCATTACCTTTGGGAGGATATGAGGACATGGGTTAGGGACAAGAAGGGGGTCACTGGGGGGCGGGGGGGTTCAGGTGAGCTGGCATCACTCTGGTGCTTGATTTGGATGTGGATACTTGCTCCACTTGGTGAGAGTTCACCCAACTTTCCACTTAGGATTCGTGCACTCTTTACAGATAGGTAAATAAAAGGGTTTGTTTAAAAAATCCTCCACCTACAGTTATCTGACCAATGCGTTTCAACTAATAAAGAAAGTCTAGACACCATGGAGCCTTGGAGGATTTATAGGTCAAAGGGGCGTGGAATGCCTTCTTCTGCAGCTGACCGCGCTCACACTAGGACACGCTCCATCTGCAGTGAGAGCTGGAAGTGCTCATGAGGACAAGCCGTCATCTCACCTGCTTAGGGCCCTCCATGTGCCTTCCCAGGCCTCATTCTGTTTGGTCTATGGTATTAAGTGACCAGGAAGAAGGAGAACTAAAGTTACCCATGGAGGGACCAGCAGATGGTGTGGTGGTTAAGGCACTGGATTCCTCATGGCTGACTATGGTTTGAGTCTTGGACGTAATGACTTGAAAAATCACGCTGGGTACATGTGTGTGCATGCCCAAGATTCTGTGAGGAGAATGGAAGAGAAAGGACTGTGGTGTGACCATCCCCCCTGGGGGGCGACTTCTCACTCTCACTTTCCTCCCCACTCTCTCTTTCTCTCCCCAGCCCCAGGTAAGCCCACATGTCAAACAGCAAAAACTTAAAAAAAAAATTATAAAGCTACCTTTTGATTTCAGCAACATAGAGGTCATCAAGAACCATTTTTGAGGCCATTTGGGATGGTGGATGGGGACACGGTCTGTTTGGAAAAAACTGAAAAATGAGTGGAAGGGCTGGCCCATAGTGCAGTTGTTAAGCATTGTGGATTAGAAGCTGAATCCCACATGACCAATCGTGGTTTGAATATTGGCCCAGGCAACTTGAAAAGCATGCCAAAGGGACCAGCAGTTAGCATAATGGCTATGT